CAGGAGGCGGGTCATTACTTGCGGCTTCCTGATTGCACGGGAAGCTGGCTCCATGTTCCCCTACGGCACTGCCAGTTAGAGGAAATTTTCATCTGGCCGTAAGTTCCAATATCGGGGAAGGTATCAGAGCATTTGGGTGAGTACGAGTATTTGCCCAAATACACGGTATCGGCACAGATACTAGTATCGGTGCACCCCTAATCAAAGGACTGCGCTGAACAGTGCTTCTCACTGTTCAGCGCAGTCATCTGACCACGTTGACCAATGAGTGCTTGCAATTTGCGAGCAAAATTCAAAATGCATAGGGGAGGACTGCGCTGGACAGCAGTACGGGGGACAGATAGTACACCCATACTAGCGGAGGGGAGGGATTGTTCACCGAAAGGTAAGTATAGCCAGGGGGTGGCGGTTTGGGAGAGACAGGGCCAGATTTCATCGGGTAATTTTTATTTTTCCATATTACCTGGGAAAATGAACTTACCCTTTAATGCACATTATGTGTGTGTAAGAGAATTCTGGCTACCACCATGGAATGGCAGCTGCAATCTCAAAGCACTTGCAGAATGTCCTACGCATGCGTTTATTTGCATGCAGATGGGGGCAGCAGAGTTTCATTTTTTTTATTGTTTACTTTTTCATTTTTATTTTTTCCTTTTTTTCCTTTTTTAAATCTTTATATATTTTATTTTTTTAACTTTTGTGATAACCCTTATGTGATAGTTTGGAGGTGACAGGTTCTCTTTATGGAACCTGCCCTCCAACACAGAACAACTGTTCTGTGTAGTTCCTGACAGCCGAGACAGGTGGTGCTGTGATTACAGCGCCACGGTCTCAGAGAGCCCGTAGAGCAGACGTTTTTCGTCTGCTCCATGGGCTCTATGGCTGAACCGTTGTGCCTTAGTTTTCGGGGTCCCCCGGGAGAGCGGGCGACCCCGACCCCGGGGGGTGCGGGCAGAAACGATCGCCACTGCTCAAATTAATACATGTGGTCTGATCAGACCACTTGTATTAAACGAGCGGCGGTGGAGGGGAGACCACTTGTATTAAACGAGTGGCTGCGGCTCCACAACGTACATTCAGCTCTGCTTGTCCGGAGCCGGGCTGAATGTACTTTTAAAACTACTCGCCCGGTGCCGGAAACTGCATGTCCCGGGCGTCGGGCGATAGGAATTTCGCACCCCTGTGTGTGTGTATATGTATATATATAAAACTGACAGTATTAACTGACCTGATCAATATCCCAGGAGTTTCATTGACTTGATGCTATACTTGATCAGCTGCTTTGGTGTTAATGAAATTAACAGGTGCACTAGATGGGCAACAATGAGACGACCTCCAAAACAGGAATGGTTTTACAGGTGGAGGCCACTGACATTTTCTTCCCTACTCATCTTTTCTGACTGTTTTTCACTAGTTTTGCATTTGGCTAAAGTCAGTGTCACTACTGGTAGCATGAGGCAATACCTGGACCCTATAAAGGTTGCACAGGCATGCCAACTCCTTCAGGATGGCACATCAATACGTACCATTGCCAGAAGGTTTGCTGTATCTCCCAGCGCAGTCGCAAGAGCATGGAGGAGATTCCACGACACAGGCAGTTACTCTAGGAGAGGTGGACAGGACCGTAGAAGGTCCCTAACCCATCAGCAGGACCGGTATCTGCTCCTTTGTGCAAGGAGGAACAGGATGAGCACTGCCAAAACCCTAGAAAATGACCTCCAGCAGGCCACTGGTGTGAATTTCTTTGACCAAACAATCAGAAACAGACTTCATGAGGGTGGCCTGAGGGCCTGACGTCCTCTAGTGGGCCCTGTGCTCACTGCCCGGCACCGTGGAGGTCGATTGGCATTTGCCATTGAACACCAGAATTGGCAGGTCCGCCACACGTGACAAAACGTGAAAGGGACTGGAGAAGCCGCGGAGAACGTTATGCTGCCTGTAACATCGTTCAGCATGACCGGTTTGGTGGTGGGTCAGTGATGATCTGGGGAGGCATATCTGAGGGGGGGACGCACATACCTCTACAGGCTAGACAATGGCACCCTGACTGCCATTAGGTATTTGGATGAAATTCTTGGACACATTGTCAGACCCTACGCTGGTGCAGTGGGTGCTGGGTTCCTCCTGGTGCAAGACGATGCCCGGCCTCGTGGGGAGAGTATGCAGCCAGTTCCTTGAGGATGAAGGAATTGATGCCATTGAATGGCCCCAACGCTCGCCTGACCTGAATCCAATAGAACACCCCTGGGACTTTGTCTCTGTCCATCCTACGCCGCCAGGTTGCACCTCAGTCTGTTCAGGAGCTCAGTGATGCCCTGGTCCAGATCTGGCAGAAGATACCCCAGGACACCATCCGTCATCTCATTATGAGCATGCCCTGACTTTGTCAGGCATCCATACAAGCACCTGGGGGCCATACAAACTACTGAGTACCATTTTGAGTTGCAGCAATGAAATTTCAGTACAATGGACTAGCCGGCTGCATCATTTGTTCACTTTGATATTTGGGATGTCTTTGAATTCAGCCCTCTGTAGGTTGATCATTTTTAATTTCCATCAAACGATGTGGCATCCTTTTATCCTAGCACATTACCTAGTCCAGTATACAGTACATATCCAGCAGGATATTTTTCCCCATTGAGATCTGATGTGTTTTCAAAGTGTTCCTTTAATTTTTTTGAGCAATATACACTCTAGCTGGTGTAGGACTACAAGTCCCATAAGCCATTGCAAGACTTGACAGCTACTGGCATGACTCTCAGAGTCATGATGGGATTTTTATGTAGTTTATGCACAGCTGGAGTGTCAAGGTTGCCCACCCTTGGTGTTTATAGCCCACCCTTGGTGTTTATAGAAAGTGAAGGGCTGTACTGCTGATGGCAGGGATCTGCTACCTCTTTTACACCTCATTTAGATGGACAGCTGAGAGAGTAAAAACATGCAGTTAAACCACAGTTTTACTGCTGCCCACCTGCTACAATGTTCGTGTTGTGGCCGGACAGTGCTATATAAGTCGGAGTGGCCATGATCCTTTGTGGTGCACCCAAAATTATACAGCATATCGCATTTGGCAGTTCAGCCATCTGCCAAACTTGACTATAGAGGCGAATGGGACCATGCCACAACCATGAGCCAAATGTGGTTGCAGCCCAGTAGTTCTATGAAAACTCCCTCTTGGGATCCCCTACCCCCCAAAAAAAGGCATTCAGGAGGCTGCACTCAGAATGCGATGTACACAGCTGGAGATTCATTCATCCATGCTGTTAACGTGGATGGAGGAATCTGTCAGATTTTTTTTTTTTTTTGCTCAGCCTCGCAGGTGGAATGAAAACCTCTCAGTGTGTACCCTGCTTTAGACCGATTAGTGAAGGAATGGTGTTGGACAGTGATCATCCGAGCATTATGGCTTTATAGTCCTTTTGTGGTTTCCTGCTATGTCTCATCAAAGCAGCTCATGCTTTTTCTCTTTCCTTCCTCCAGTTAGGTTGTGTACACAGGTGGGAGGCGGAGACAGCAAGAACAAAAAGTATGCTTATTTCACAATAGTGCAATGTAAATGGTATATACACATTGCAGCTTCATGCAGCTGAACAATCTTGTAATATCACTGTCTGTCACCATTAAAGTGTATGTAAACGCAATGTTTTCTTGTTCATAGTGGACAGATTCGGAGAGGGTAATATGCAGGTATCATCAGGTGATATGATACTGGTCAGACCTGTGAGGACCCATACATAAACATGTGGACATGCTTCGGTTTCCTGGCGAACTCCCCGTGGTCGTTTCCAGACTGCTTGGACCTTCTGTCTCAGAGTCTGGTACTGCATCCTGCTTCTTGATCGCTGGCTTTGACGCTTTGGCTGATGCCAGGTCTGACTTTGTTATTCCTACACTTTTGCATGCCGGAAGGTGTGCCACCCCACCTGGAGGGCTTACTTTGCCTGGTGCAAACGTCTCATCCTCTGAAGTATGCCGTGTGACATGTTCTGGCCCCGCTCCTGTGGAGCACTTTCAGGGGACAAATATCGGCCTTGGCCATACTTTTTTGGTGCCCACTCCTTGATCAAGGGTTTTGTGCAGGGGGTTGCCCATGTGGATCCCCCCTAGACGCCCTTCAGTGTCACAGTAGGATCTCAGTCTGGTGCTTTCATTTCTTCAGCGAGATCCCTTTGAACCTATTAGACATATCGCTCTGGTGGATCTTATGTGTAAGCTGGTTTCCTTGGTCGCCTTCACATCCCCAAAGGGTTTCGGAGTTGGTGGCACTATCGTGCAAGCAAACTGCTCCCTGTTCTTTGCAAGGATAGGGGTGTTGTTAGGCCTTGTGATTCTGTTCTGCCTAAGGTGTCCGCGTTTCATCTTAATTAGGACATTGCACTTCCCTCTTTTTATCCTGCTGCAAAACATCCTAAGGCGGTTGCCCTCCATTGCTTAGAATTAGTTCAGGCTGTCCGAGTTTACCGCTTGGCTAATTTCAGGCACGTATGTGTTGCATCCATCTAAAGATGTCTCTGCGCACATGGACACACAGTTTGTAGAGCATCCCCGTTGCCCCCAAGCCTAGCAGATTTTTACCTATTATAGCTCTGCCATATTTGATCCCCACCCCCCTTTTCT